CTTCAGGCTCTCATCAGGTTATTTATATCAACCCTACGTACAGCTAATTTATGATCCGCACCAGGCCTTGGCTTGGGATGTTTTTAAGGTATACGCAACATAGATATGGCTATACCAGAGACAATATTACCAATCTTATTGTTGCAATTTGCAACAGCGCAAGTCACCATCGTTAATCTTGATGTACGCAAGCGAATTAAAACTACACGTCCATATAACCAATATGTTTACATGCCCTTACATCTATAAACAACGCTATACAGTACGAAACACACGATCATTTGTGACATTAGCTATAATCTTTTAATTGATATGTTCTTAACTGGTACAGAACACACGTATCACCGGCCCACGACTTCCGCCTCCTTCCAGACCTATAAGCTGACGGACTACAGCATCTATGGTGACCACATCTTTGGGCTTGATCTCCAGGTACTTCCAACAGAACGCATCCATCGGCTCCAACAAATGCCAACAATGCCGCCGCCTCCGGACCAACGCCTTCTCTCTCATGGATATAACCGATATCGCCATCGACTTTATCACTTACGCAACAAATCCCGCGCACGACTGTTCCAAGCCGAAATCCGGGTGCATCAGAACCTACTACGGTCGTATCATACTTTGCATAGTCCAGCAGAAGGCTTGCTACGGATTCTCGACTGCATCTGGTGCTATGCCGCTAACCCACAAATCTTTGGGGGATTCTACTACGACATAAATAGACCTTGGGTACAACGGCTGCCAAACCACTCGTTCCGCCCACGTCTGACCGCCCAAAGTAATTTCCCAAATGCTCCCAAGATATTGCGTACCAACGACGATCTCCACGCCAACCCTGCATACCGGGTGCCGACGGCACAGGCGTCACTCTCACTGGCTACTTTGAGGACATATTCAACTCTGCGATTTCATGCCCTAACTTTTGATGAGTAAGCTAACTAATGAAAATCGGGATTTGTGAATGTAACGAGTCGTCACATTTGATTTTGATTTTTCTCTTTGTTCCAAACCGGGTGCATTTTTGTAAAATGTGACTACTCGTCAAATTTTGGTTTGGCACGGGTGATATTTAGTGGTATTTAATATAAATAAATATTTTACAGCGATAAGCTTTCATAACATCGCGCTCATCGCTTCTTAAATCCATTGTCCACTTTAAAGTATTTTCATAATTCTAGTCTTGAAGATTCTAAATTGTTGCATTTTTTTTAATTATTACTACACAAATCATTGCATACCAAGTATTACAAAACAGGTTGAAAGAAGCACAGTCTTATCTGCTGATCGAAATAATAAAACATCTCTGCAGACTCGTGATATCTGTACATATACATTGCTGTCTACATCAAGCTTTGAATTCTTTTTCGAGGTAAAATCAGCGATGCAGTATTGTCCGTATAAAACTGTTTCTAACGAATCTCCTGAAGCTGTACATGGAGGTCAGTTAGTTTGTGATACATGCAATAAAGTGCACCGGACTCACCTTTTCGGAATATTGCTGTCTTCGAAGTGTACAGTCTTATAAGCAGATAATGGAACACGAAATTCAATATTCAACGCTACTACTTGATACTGCATCTTACATAATAGCCGCAGGTCGCTTTTTAGCGAGTTTTATTAACACGCACATCACGCATGGATAACTGAACCACGAGTTGAATCATATTCCATTCTTCCCACCTATGTTTACATTGTGCCAAAGGAAAAGCTTGCATAGTGAAAATAGACATAACCAAAATAGTGCAAGGAAAATAAGAAATTGGGAATACATTAGGATCAAAATTGGTAAACTTGGTAAAGTGTCTATTTATGTTTGAGATGTCTCAAAACTCGACAATTCAGCTTAATAACTCATTATTTGTGTACACGGGCTGCCGGCTTGTAGAAATAGACATAACCAAAATAGTCGAGGAAAAATAAGAAACTGGGAATGCATTAGGATCAAAATTGGTAAACTTGGTAAACTTGGTAAGGTATCTATTTATGTTTGAGATGTCTCGAAACTCGACAATTCGGCTTAATAACTCATCATTTGTGTACACGGGCTGCCGGCTTGTAGAAATAGACATAACCAAAATAGTGAAGGAAAAATAGAAAATTGGGAATACATTAGGATCAAAATTGGTAAACTTGGTAAGGTATCATCTATTTATGTTTGAGATGTCTCGAAACTCGACAATTCGGCTTAATAACTCATTATTTGTGTACACGGGCTGCCGGCTTGTAGAAATAGACATAACCAAAATAGTGAAGGAAAAATAGAAAACTGGGAATACATTAGGATCCAAATTGGTAAACTTGGTAAGGTTTTATGTTTGAGATGTCTCGACAATTCAGCCTAATAACTCATTATTATTTGCGTACACGAGCTGCCGGATTGTAAGAAATAGACAGAACCAAAATAGTGCGGGAAAAATAAGAATCTGAGAATACATTAGGATCAAAATTGGAAAGGTATTTATTTAAGTTTGAGATATGTCTCAAAACTCGACAATTCAGCTTAATAACTCATTATTTGTGTACGGGCTGCCGACTCAGCCGAAAAACTTCAAATAATGGAATAGCTTGCATTTTGCCTGTTTTTCTACGACTAGTTACTGTTTTACCTCTCTCCTACCTCCCCTCTTAGCATAACTGTACTTGTCGGGTTACTCTGTAACTAAATTATATTAACAATGGCGCATAATTTTTTTTAACGTATAATATAAGGGGACAGCACTCATATAAATGCCGCTTGTTGGTGAGTTTCTGCTCTGAGATTCCTTAGCACCTCGAGTCTTTCTTGCAACCTAGAGTTCTCCGCTCGAAGTTGATCTTTGGAAGAAGTCAACCTTTGGCTTCTCTCTTTAAGCTCTGCCAAATAAACAGCTGCACCCTTCAGTATTTGCAGCTGAGTAGGAGTACCAGAAGCCTTAAGGGAAGGGATAACTTCACCGAGATGGTTGAAAGTAGAATTGAGATCCTCTCTTCGCTTCCTTTCCAGCTCGTTGTGCAACTGCCTCTTTCTTTCTGAATTCCTCTTAGGATAGGGCTGATGTCTCTTAGCGGAATCCAAGGAAGAAACACTACTCGTCGACGAAGTTTTCACCAATCCTTTCCGTTGTGAACCTTGATTCACCGATGTCGTTTGTAGCGCTTTCACAGGAGACTGATTGAGTGGAACAATCGTATTAGCTGCAACGTTCTCAAGCTTCACCGTGGCAGGTGATGTATATGTGTTTTTAACTGTTGATAGCGGGGAAAGTGATACTAGAGGTGGGATACCACTAGAGAGAGGTGGTATTGTGTTTTGATGGCTCATATTGTTGGCTTGTACAGCAGCGGGTGCTGTGTATTTCAAGGAATCTAAGCTTGTAAAACTATCAGAAAACAAACTAATGGTGGGCTTTTCCATAGTATCAAGTGGGTTCATGGACCCCATGTCGACATCAGACTCCAACCTCGCCATGTTGCCATACAAACTGTTAAGCTTGAGCATACTAGGATCTATAGATATCATGCCGTTATCTACACTGCCGTTAGTACGTATTAACCTGCTAGAGTTAATAGTGCTCACGAAGTCATCAACAAGCATACCGTCATTCATGCTACAATCACTCCCGCTACTTAGAAGACCGACTTGTAACGCGGACTCGATATCTTCCAGGTTGTCGAGATCAGAATCTTGATTAGTAGGCTCAGATAGGTTGAACATAGCCGCAGAAGTGGAGTTCAGGGCTGAGTCAATCTGATCGAGATGCCAGGCATTGTTGAGTCTATATTCCTGTTTCATCAATGGACTCTGTGGCTCAGGAGTATTGATACCAGAATCGATGAAGTCACAGCTGTACCGCTCAGGTTCTTTCTCCCTCAGAGAATTTAGATGGTCCTCCATGTTCAATGGTATGTTAGTAGAGAAGTCCAAGTCCGCCCCACTAAATTCCATGTCTATGTGAAACGACTCTAATGCATCCACTTTGTAGGGATTCGTCTCCAAAGAGTCTTTCCAGGCTAAACTTACGTCGAGTAGGTCATTATCAAAAACGTCCATTTTGACCGCGTCTGCTTGTGTAATAATCGTAGTATGCTATAAGCAGCAGGTGAAGAGGTAATCGCCAGTAGAAGGAATAAGTATTCACAATTTTCAGATACCTTCTCGCAGTGATTGTGAATTCCAACGTATGACAGACGGACCTATATATATAAAATAGACAAGATTCTGTCCTTCCACTAATCCGCTTCTTTCTAATAAAATCAATAAAAACCATGTCCACAACTCTCAAATCTCAATGTTTGCCTTTTTTTTAATGTTTCTCAAACAGAACACCAGGCCCACTGGTCCAGACTCCGGAGCCCAGGCTACGTGTCCTACAATAGTGGTAGAGAAAGCCCAAGGCCCTAAAAGCCCTTAGGCCAAGGCCCAAAGGGCAAAGAGCCACAGGCTCCACAGACTCAGAGTCAAAGTTTCGAGTCCTCGTCTCCTCGACCGAATATCGTTCAAGCGACAGCCTTTTCTCTCTAAAAATTAAACTGCGCTCTCGTCTCTCGCTTTTTTATTTTAAAAAGAAAACGAAAAACAAATATGTATTTATTTTGTTTTTTAAAATTTTATTTAAAATTTTAGACTTGCCGGGTCGGAGCCTTCAGCGGCCAGTCTCAGCCTAAATGTTTTGTATTTATTTTCATGATGGAGTCACATCAGCGTTCAGAGTTCAGAATTCAGACTTCAGACTCATGTCTCACACAAAGCCACTATCGGATTATCCACAGTTTCTTGAAAAAAATTTATTTTAAATAAGCAATGAAAGGACTAAAAATATATGTCCGCGAATCCGTCTCCGCCTCTCCGTCAGTCCGCCACTGCTTTTTTGGTAGACTCTGCGGCCTGCGTCTGTCTGTGCCTGAGGCGAATTTTCAATAAAATGCAGAAAAGTCAAATCTATCTTGAGATTCAGCATCACTTTTAGGGCTCCTGCTCTGAAAAAATTCCCACGTGATACAGGTTTCGCTCTGTCCAATGGAACCATTCTTTGCAGAGTTAATTTACCTACATTTAATTTTTTTATTTGTTTCTATCGAGTATCATCACAGGACACGGAGTCCCGGACTCACACACACAAGTAGAGCTGCTCTTGCTTGACCGCTCCTCTGTCTACTGTCGTAGAAGTCTGTCTCTGAGAGAGAGAAGAGCAGGAAAATAATTTCGGGCAATTTTGGTCCTGTCAGTCTCCAAAAGGGCGTCCTGGTGTCATTCCAGTGTCCCGGGCTCCAGGCCACAGAGTGCGACTAATTTGGTGGCTAACCCAGATCTCATGCACCATAAGCTTTTCTGTTTAAATTTCCAGAAGGCTATGAAAAAAATTACAATATGTATACGTTTTATTTGGATTTGGTAGAACTGTTTTGTATCAACAATTACTTGCTCGCATGTAAAAGGCAATCCGTTTAAAAAAAACCACAACAAATCATTGTACATACTTCTATTCCTATGCAGCTTAACTTTAAATAAATAATAAGGGCTGTTTGGTGTCCTGGATTCCTGGGCTCCTGGCCCCTCAGAGAGGTCACCGGGTGGCCCACTTTAGTCGCTGTATCACTGGTTCCAGGTGGTACTGCTATCGAGACTCGAGAGTATGTATTTACATAGTGCAAATAATATGTATTTACTGCCCCGTCGGCCCGTCTGCCTGACCAACAGTCTATGACTCTACAGTCTACAGTCTACACTCTACGTCTACAATTCTACACCCTACGCCGGCCTAAGCCCAAGCTTCAAACGGGAATTTACTGACCACTTCTTCCCATCAATCATTCCTGAACCACTACAGCGACTATGAGAGCCATACCATATGTTCATACCTTGTATCATACATATTTGCCATTTTTGAAATAAATAATATTATCCCTAAGACCTAAGGTTGTTTGTCTCCAGTCTCCAGTCTCCAGTCTTTAGTCTCCAGCGGTACAATTTTTTTATAGCGATTGTATGATTTTTTCTTGATGATTTTTTGTTGTTGCTTTTTTGTCTACTTTGTAGCTTTTGAACGTTCCACCTTTTCATTGGCTGCACAAAAGATTGTAAAAAAGGTTAGTGGCACGCGTGTGAACTTACCGTAGTTAATGAGACGTGAGCGTCCTTGTCCAACAGTGTACAATGCCCATCCATCAGCCATCACTCTAACTGTCAAGTTTCAACCAGTTAAAATCTCACACCAAAAATTCCTTAGAGCCTTAAAATTTGATTTTCTTGTTATTAGACAAAGAGCCTTTCTCTCTCCATCCTACTAACCTAATTGGACGCGGACGTTCGGTCTAGACTCTCTAGAGTAGAGAGAGGCTGAGAGCTGGATCACTGTCAACTCTTTCTAGAGTAGTGTCTACTGTCTCTCTCAGTAATAGACTAGTAGCAGAGAGAGTGTCTACCCTCCCCCCCCCCAGAGACTGCTCAGGAGTCTGGAGTCAGGACTCAGGACCCATAAGTCCTAACCCATTATATTTTGTTTTAAAAAAACAAAGTATGCCATGGCCCCGCCAAGGGGAGGTGAAAATCTGATTTTCACACTCCACAGACCACAGTCCACAGTTCACAGTCCACACCACACCTTCGATTTTCTCTCTTCATTTTGATTTGGGGCTTATTGAAATGAAAACAAAAAAAGTTAATATGTAGAAGAAGGTTATAAAATCAGAAAAATGTTTCATACTGTGTTTGTTAACTATGTACGTATTTTTTAATATTATTCAGTAAATATTTCCATAGTAGTATTTTTAAATATCGTTTATTGGCTGTATATATAACAAAAATGATCATAGGAAGTTTTGAACTTTTGAAATACCCCCTAAAACAAATACAAGCCCATTATATTTTCAACCAATCGACCTAAGATATTTCATAGAAAAATATATAAATATTATCTCATATGTTAGCTTTTAAAATAATTCTGTATATATATATTTAAAAAAAAAGAAATTTAAAGCCCTACTGTAAAATGAATTTATAATAATAATACACGACTAAAAAGTGAAATTCTATTTTTTTAATAGCACATATAAAAAAGAGAGTACAACTTTTAGTATTTTTTAAAACAATAATTGATATTTTTTGAAAACAAAAAATTCAAATACAAGAATCCTTTTTGTAAAGACTAAAGAACTTTTTTACTTAAAAAAATAGAAGAAGACTTCTTGAAGTTCAACCACTTCAAAGTGTCTTCACAGTTCAGTGTTCACACTTCACAGACTTCACACTGCAGACTGCGGAGTGCAGTGCTAATGTCAATAAGTTATATTTAGTGTAAATAAAGGTTGAACGTTATCCTGTATTTTTTCAATTTATAAACGGATTAACTTTTATACTAAAAATTATATGGTCGAAATCGTGAATTTTGCACTTTCGGGCTATGAAACTAAAGTTAACCAATGATTATCTGACAAATTTATTTTGTGTAAATTTAAGTTTTTTTTTATAAGACGCGGTTGCAATGACATTTAGCATAAATTTATAACGGGCCAAATGACACATAGAGCGCGAATATTTAAGACAATATATTTGACCTGAAAACCTACCTGACTTGAGTCAAAATATGCATATCAGTTATAAATGTTGACCGATAACCGTTATTTTTTCAAACTATAAACGGTTTAACGTATAACTTTTTGACGTTAGGTGCAGTGTGCACAATGCCCGCAATCCGTCGACTTCGTCAGAGTTCAAATTCATAGTTCAAGACTATTTCAAATTTTCAAGTCCACAACTTCAGTCTATCAGGTCCAGGACTCCAGGTCCACACTCCTGACTCTATAGACGGTCAGACCACAGCTGATTTTTTTTACCTCGGATTCCAAATTTCCAAGTTCTGTCAACAAGTTCCTTATTTGAGAACGGCAGGCGAACAGAGAAGAGAACTTAGAGAAGTCCAAACGAGAGTAAAAGAGTCGAGAGTTATAACTCCTAACTCTCTATTATCTAGAAAGTACATACCAATATATCAGTCATCCAATCCATACTTAGCTAAAGAGCAATTTATTGTAAAAATCAAGAGTAGGTGATATATGGTAGATTACATGGGTGCCGGTGAGGGGGTGGGGCAGGTGGGCCCGGTCGGGTCAGGGCCGGGGTGGGGCAAGGAGCCCTGGAGTCTTAGACTCTGAGTCTGGAGTCTGTGGACTCTGAACTCTGGAGCAGGAGATCGAGGAGTTACGGGCCGCCTGGGAGTGGGGGTTCTCAGTTTGAGTTTTTGACTTCTGAGCTTTTTTATAGGAGCCTTCGTTATTGTAAAAAACCAGAATACCTAAATTGAACGTAAGCTTTAACATAGCATTTTAATTTGTAATATAATTTTTAACATAGCATTCTAATTTGTTTTTTTAAAATAAAAACGGAAACAATGTTCTGTAAATTTGCATTTTCACTCTCTTCTGACTTCTCACTCTGTGTTGATTTCGCTTCCGTGTGCGTAGTATTTACTGTCGTTGTTTACTAATACATACTTGTTAGAGGTTGTACTTTTTTTGGTATCACAAAAACAACAAAGTCTTGACTTCTTTCTTTACCTTTTGTTTTGGTCTTAATAAAAAAATTAATCACATGACAATTGATGGTCACATGTGAATACTCTATATTTAATTAGTAAAATAGTCTATTTATAATTTATATTGTCTATGCTCTCGGAGTCTCGGTACTCGGTCCGCCAGCCGCAAGGAGACTTGAGAGAGAGAGATCACATTCACGGCTGGGAAACTGCGGGGACTTGAAAGCAGGGGCAATTTATTTGTTCATATTTAGACTTTTTTTATTAAACTCCCCATCCATCTACCAAGGGGATAAAATCGGGATGAAAATAACAAAGCGTTCCTGGTTAGCTAAATCCGGATTTCTATTTATTCCCAATTTGTTTTTGGCATATTTCAAGATTAAGTATTTCGTAAATGATCTGCGAAGACGCCTAGGTCGTAGTACGAGTAGAACACCTTCTATGCTTAGTTCAACACTACATCGGAAACCTTCAAAACGCGATTATTGGGTCTAAATATGCATAATTAGTAAAGTTTCAATGTTGTCACGTACAATTATTGTCCAAACAATATCGTATATGCATTCGTATAACGGTAATGTAACCTACAGCTGCTAAAATCGAGGAAAAGTGTGTTTATATCATTTGATGTGCCATCGATCGATTGCACGATGAATCTCGTTTCCTGAACTTTTTGTCAAAGTTCACTACATATTCACCCACAAACGATTAAAATCACATTATTATGGTTCAATTATGATTATGTAAGCATAACGAAGGTCTGAAAACCATAACGAAGCTATATATTTGAATACGCACACCAAATGGTCCAATATCTAGCATGGTCGAAAAGTGCACAATCCTAATTATTCTTCAACGCATTAACTTGGCGCCTTCGCAAAATTCTTTTGAAATGTTTTTCAAAAAGTGTAGAAAAAAATATTGGGACTATATCCAAATCCGGATTTAGTGAATTAGGGTTACTGCGTTAAAATCGTGTCCCCATAGTACTTGGTCGGGGTGAAAAAACGAATATGTAAAAAAAAAGTATTAGATATCTCAACCGGTACACGCCCTTAGCCCTATCACCATGAAACACACTCACGTATACACATTCACAGAGTCACATACACTCACATTCACACACACACACACTCTCTCTCGCACACACACACACACACACACACACAATCACGTTCACACTCACTTTCACACTCACTTTTACTTACACGTTCGCGTTCACAGTCACACTCTTTGAGTCTCAGTCTTAGGCTCATTCAAACTCAAACTCCTTCAAACAGTACCCTAAGTAAATCAGAAGCCTTAAATGTGTAACGATTTGATAGGTAT